AAATAGAAAACCGAGGCACTTTGAAGTTGGCGACTGGGTGTGGTGCATTTGAGGAAGGAGAGGTTTCCCCAGCAGAGGAAATCGAAGTTGCTGCGTCGTTGTGATGGTCGTTTCCAGGTTGTTTCGAAGGTGGGAAGCAATGCCTACAAGATCGACTTGCCAGGAGAGTATGGAGTAAGTGCAACGTTTAATGTTTCTGACCTTGCACCTTATTTGGATGGCAATTCGGATTTGAGGGCAAATCCTTTTGAAGAAGGAGGGGCTGATGAGGACATCAATTCCACCCTATCCGGTTATGTTTGGTTCGAGAAGCCTGCGCTACTTTGATTATATCATACTGATGGTTATTCTTCAGGGTCCAGATCAACTCATGGCTGTTGTGGCTGTGTTATGGCGAATTTGGAAATCTCGGAACTCTGTTTTCTTTGAGTGCAAACAATTTGGGATTTCGATTTTGATGAGGTAGTATTATCAACAGTTGCATTAGAGGACAAATCTACCTCAGGACAGGGTGGTATTCACCATGGGGGAAGGGACTGGTGGTGCTCTGCCTATCATCCATGTAACTGTTGTCTGCAGGTGGGATGGAGCAACAGGGCGTGGGTCCCATTCTGTTGGGGGAATAGACTCCTGGATCAAGGCATGGTGGTCATCTAGGCGGTCGCTATCCATTTCTCGGGAATGGATGATCCCATGATAGTAGAGCTCTTGGTTCTCCGCGAGGCTATCAGGGGTTTCTCTATGGTGTGGTTTGAGGGTGATGCTCAGGTGGTGGTTAACAGGCTTAATCGGTCACAACCTCATGATAGCAGAGCAGGTGCCATTTTTCAGGAGGTGCTGGGGTATTTGGCGGAGCAGGGGGTTTAGTATTCGATTCGTAGGTCGGCGTAATAATAGGGTAGCCCATCTGGTGGCTCGTAAGGCCCTTAATTTGTACCCGATTGCGTGTCATTCGTTTGATTTTGTGATCTGGCTGAGGCACATGATGTAATGATCTATTTTTCCCATATCAATATATGATTATTTTTGTAAAAAAAAAATTCCTCGACCTCCTCCCCCATCAACCGCTAGCGGTGGGAAGCAGTGCAGGTTTGGTTAACTACATCGAATATCGCGATTAACAAAAATCAAATGAGAGCATAATCACCAACCGTAATCGGATCGCAAATAATTTGCGGTTACCACTAACCACACTATGCAGTTAGGCGTTAGCGGTTAGTTACGATTAACCATGATTAGGGGTGTTCAAATGGTTACTTTGGTAATAACCAAACCAATTAAGGCTAAATTTCATTAACCATGGAATAAAATGTCTTAACCAAACTGTTCAAATTAACACGAAAACCAAATTAACCAAGTAACATAACATTACATGAAAACAATTATCCTTTTAATGAATAAAAAATAATTATATGTTGTTACTATCATAAACTATCATTATATATAAGCAATAATAATAAGACTAACCATCCATGATTATCATCATCATTCGAGTTAATACATCATCCATCATCTCTGCACCTAATATAGTTAGCTTACAACAAACCCTTGACATAAATATTAAATACATACAAATAGCAGTCAATAGGAAGTTAAAGCTCTCCTACAAAACACTTAAACTATAGATAGTTTGAGGTGGTTGTCATGGTATTGTACGTAATCCTAAAGTCCAGTAGTTGTCCAATTTGTTGTATTCTTTTAAATTAAAAACATATAATAGCAGGGTGGAAAAAACTCTTCCCCCATTTCAAATTCCCTGTTCCATGAGCGTTTGTAGGAAGGGTAAAATAGGGAGTGTCAATTTTTTCTCTTTCCTCTATGGAACGGGCCAACTTACCGTACACATGCGGATTTAAACGAGTCAAGGAGTGTCAATTTTTTTCTTTATACCCTTTTATTTATCCGTGGTGATAAAATATATATGAAAAGGCAAAAATAATACTCCTTTTTATTGTTAAAAATAAAAAATTTAACAATAGACTAATGCATGGTATCTAATGGGCTAACCGCTAACCATAAAATAAAAGAGTTGAATGGGCCTGACCTACATGGGATTTGGACATCAAGTAAAACAAATGAACATCATGGGTTTGTCATTCTAAAACAATCTATTTTCTCTGGCATAATATATATTATGCTATTATTTTATATCTTAGTGGCTAAAATATAATGTATTTTAAAGTTATTCAATGGTTCAACCTCGACCAACCCAATTAGTCCAATTTTTATCATTTCAAATATATATTTTATAATTATTTGACATCATAATGATCAAATTATAGTGTATTTTATAGGGAATCGTTTGGTATTTGTTAGTAAAAAACTAAACATAAAAATCTATTTGGTTATTTTAAACATTAAAACGATCCTCAACATTTTCAGTTCCTTTTGAATTTATATGGTTTTATTCCCGAATAAGTGATGTGCAAATGGCGAATTGTAGTCGTCTTTTTTCTTTTCACTATTTTTTTATTTTCAAATAGAAAGTTTAAAGTAAAGAATAATTAGAATTTGGCATGGGTCGGTCAAACAGGTTGAATTTCAAGTTTTGGCCCATTTGTTTTATGCATTGCAAATTTATTAGCATGTTGATGGAAATGGCTTGGAAAAAAGACATATAAGTTGTATCTTTGCAGAAATGTCATCAAATGTTTGAATGCTTTGTGAATCAGGTTCTGTGACTTTTGTGATGGTGTATTTGCTTGACGATTGCTCGATGTTGTAACTACTTAATTTAAGAGTAAATCTTTTGACTTTCCCTATGAGTTGTGATACCAATTCTGGTGGTTGCAGCATGTTGTCGTTGTTGGCCTGTAAAAGTTGTTCCGCCGTGATGCTAAATACCTTTCTTTCTTTTTTAACAAATTGTGTAGTAGTGCTATGAAACAGACCACCCATGAACGCTACACTTATTATGTTCTGTTCTTACTTCCGGTGGTGAGAAATTGTGAATTGAGAATCATATTCGCCTACCGCACTGTGTCTGGTTGGTGGCTGCTTACTGTGCTCTCTAGAGTTATGAAACAGACTACCCATGAACTTTACCCTTAAGAGTCCACAACTTTGCGAAAAAACCAAATATAGGCAATCAAAGATGGTGGATGTGTGATGATTTTTTATGGCTTAATTATTTGTGAATTAGATATATGATCTTTGTATGATTAGAGGGGATGTTTGCTTAATAGAATAATCCATTTTAATTCATGTTTATTTTTAACATGAACTTTAGTAACTCAAAACCTTTGAGACACATATCACCTACTGCATTGTATCATTTTGCCTGGGTGCTTGCTGTGTTGTCAAACTTCTTTGCTGCTGATGCATTTACACTAACAGGGGAGTTAAGAACCCATGAATGTTTCCGTTTGACACAAACAAGAGGACTTACTTCTAAATCATGCACTAAAGATGATTGGAGGAAACATCTCTGTTGCAGTTGATACACTGGAGACCATAACAAAAGCAACGTATAACATCAAAACCAACCATCTGAACTATTAGCATTGTTGCTTTACTCTTTTTTCGTGGTTGAGTCTCCTTCAAAAAATTTAGTTTGATTTTAGAAAATTTTGCTTCTGCAATCCTGTCTTGCCACCAACGCGTTCAGTAGATGGAGATGGCAGAGGCGAAGGCTATTTTGTGTTGTTGTTGCTGGTTTAGGGATCGGTTTGTGAAGAAGAGGGAGAAGAGAGGGGGAAAGGGAAATGCATGAGAGGGGGATAACTCTTTTCTCCGACAAAAATGGAGTGAAGAAAGGAATTATGATCAGTAAGGATATGGTTATCTTACATAACTGTGTCTATTCTGTTTGAATTGAGCTTGGGAGGTAGTGATAAGGACGAGCTGCAACCAATTCATAGTGATAAGAGTGCTATGAACTGTGATCATGTCTTATTTCAAGTTAGAAGGTAGTTTCAGTATAAGGATTATTTAATTTGACAAGTTGTTTCGTCCATGATTCTTGGTAGTTTCAGTGCCATTCTAGCCATTGTTTAGTCTGTAATTTTTGAGAATTGATGTGCGAGTAATGACTTTCACTTAGCTTCAACTATTATGCGTGTATTTATTGGCATGTGATAGAATTCTCTTTTCCTTTTCTTTGAATTCAGTTTCATACTCTAATTGTATCATTTGTACATAGGCAAATCATGCTCGAGATGACAACTCGCTGATATGGCTGGTGCAAGGAATGAAGCCATCATTAAAATTCAGACCGACAACGGGGAGGGATGCCCAGGACTAATTCAATGATGATTGATGATGGTATGATAAAAACTGCAGTCTGCATCAGCACCAATTTCTAGGCCTAAGTAAAGTTATTCAACCCAGAACTCTGCTTAGCGCTAAAAATTGCCCTCACCCAACCTTTATCATGTTTGACCCACTTCTGAAGAGTCAAGATATATTACTAATTCTCTCCGTTCGTATTTTCTTATTGGCTCTTTCTGACCCTTTAGGTTGGGGCGGGTCGGGAAGAATCGGATTAGTGGGCCGGTCCTAATCAAGTGGAATCCCAATCCCTTCACTCTCACTTGCTTTCTCTCCCATTCCACAAGTGGGTAACATACAGTAATCCGGCCAACGGGCCAGGTAATAAGCTAGTACTTTTTAAAATCCAACATAAATCCTTTTTTTTTTTATCGAGAAAGGCTAGAAAGCCAGGGGTAGAAAACAAAACAGGGCTCAAAGAAACACGAACCAAGCTACAGGTCGCCCAGATCCGAGAAACCCAAGAACAAAACCACCCCAGAAGGCAAGGCAAAGACAGAAGCATGGAAATCAGCCTATCCCGAATTAATTATCCTAGGAAAGCTGACACCAATCAAATCTTCTAAAAGAACCTTATCTAAACCTGCGGGAGAATCTACTAGTTCACATAATCCTTCAATCATAAAATCTAGAGTTTTATGATTTAATTTGAACACCCTACAGGAAAAAATCAAGAATTTTACTAAAATCTTTCTTTTTTAAAAATCATACAAGCAAATCTCTTAATATTAATTGTTTTGTATAATTTAGTAAACTCAATAACCGAACTTGCAATTTACCAAACTTGCCAATCCAACCTGTAAATTAAACACCCTCATGGGACCTGGAAACGAATCAAACATCTCCAATCTTTCCAATTATTATTTCCAAGGTTCAGAACAAGACTCCTACCCTACCAACACCCACCTCATCTAGCTTCCTCAGAAGAGTGAAACATATTCGAAAAGAACTCGATCATAAAGAGGGAAAATCAAAAGTTACGTGCTTTCAATCTAGCTTCCCCTTCATAAGATTGCAACAATGTCATTCCCAAAAGACAGAAGAACCAAGCAGAAATAAATCCCGAAACCCCTCCTAATGCTTTGCATCTTCTTCGTCACAAAACTTGGAGTAGGCATCTGCATCCTTCAAGTTGTTAAGCTCACCAGCATCCTTCAATTCCACCTTTATAATCCACCCTTCCTTGTACGGGCTCGTATTCACCTGGAAGAAGAACACAACAAACCATGAAACGCATTGCACAAAAAAAAAACAATAAAAAGATGCATTTTATCTCTGCAGCAAAGCACCCAGGAAACAAAAAGGACCAAAAGGGGCAGCGAGAGACAAACCAGAGCAGGGGACCCATTCAGCTCCTCATTGACTTCAACTACTTTCCCAGAAACCGGAGAGTTGATATCACTGGTAGCCTTGACGCTTTCAACTGCACCGAAACTGTTTCCCTGGGTAACTTCCGTACCCAATTCTGGTAGCTCGACATACACAACATCCCCTAGATGGTCTTGAGCATGATCAGTTATCCCAACCGTGGCAGAGTTGCCATCGACTTTCACCCACTCGTGACTCTCCGCGTACTTCAGGTCCTTGATAACTGCAGCAACATTGGCAATACATCGATCAAAGCTGAACGTATCTACGTTTTCTGAGAAAACTATCATTCAGGGATGTCAACCGAAATCTACTATCATGGAAGCTGTAGCATAATAGGCCAACCAATACCACACATGACCATTCAACAAGATAGAGATTCCTCAGTCTATTGACCTTGCAAACAGAGAAGAAAAACAGTGATATCGAGCTCAAAAATGGAGGATGAAGGCAAGGCATGGCAAAGAATATACAAGATTGGGATGTCCTTTGCCATCTCATACATTAACCATTCCTAATCCAATTAACATAATTAAATTCTCTTTCTCACATGTTTCACCATTTTTCTTTGTCTTTATTCCCTCCCCTGGCCCTGCAAGTGGTGTGTGTGCAAAAGAAGAACCCACCAAGATTGCCATTGCCAACTATCGTTTTCCTGAGAATCTTGGTATTCCTCAGAAGATGACATTGAATGTTTGCAATTTTAACATGTCACAGAGAAAAGAGAAAAGGACAGCACAGAAAGGAAATAGGCAGAGGAAACAAACAATTAAACACTAATAATTCCTCAGCAACCACACCACACCACCTTACATCAAAATTGTGACCCACTAGACTACGCGTTAGTTCCAAATACACAAGCGCCTTGGAAAACAAAACCAATCATGCAAATGATTCATTAGCCTTCCCCGTCCATCCCTTTCATCCCCAAAGTAAGCATCTTTCTATTTGAATCAAGGAAAAACAGAGCCCGACGGATTTAGGGTATTGCGAGCGACATGACCTATAATCCCTACGAACGAATAAAATCCCCTTTTGGTACAACATGAATTGTTGCTAAAGACAAGGCAGAAAACCCAGAATAAGACACAGCCGAGAACCGACTTACAAAAACCAAATCAAGCGAGTAGATCAGTTGAGATCCACATCCACCGATATGCTCATGGACCATTCTTTTACGAAACGAACAAAAAGGAGATCATGCAAGGAAGGAAGGCAATCAAATCTCTGCAGAAACGTGGAGGAAAATTGGAAAGGAAACGATTTACCAGAAGCAAATCCCCTGTAGGGAACGGAGATCCTGAGCAAGGAAGCGGCTCTGGAAGCCCACAACAACCGCGAAGCCATGGGATCAGAGAGGGTAGAAAGGGACGATTGGTGGGAGTGGCGGCCTTGGTAAAACGGGGAAGAAACCAAGATCGCAATGAGGGGTAGCGGCAAACAAAAACCACTATACTGAATTCTCCAGAGTGTCAGCCCACTTCCCCACTCCCTATTGCCTCCGACTCCACTCAAGGGTTTGTTTATAGTTTTTTATTTCTGATTATTTATATGTCTGGTTTGGTGAAGGGTTCTATAGGAAGGATTTGTGGTTTGGAGGGCCTTTTTGTAGTTTTTATTAATAGCCCCCAAACAATTGTTTTTGTTTGCTTCTTCTTAACAAGTTGATCCTAATGAGTAATGAAATCGACAAAGAAATTATACGTCAGAAATGGTAGGTGGTGGGTCAATGTGGCAACAACCCCGTTTGCCTGAAAAGTTGGTGCCTTGCCTTGGTGGTGAATGGGGCTGAGCTGAGTGCTTGCCGACTCTTTCTTGTATACTCTTACTCAACCCTTGCACTTGTCACGCTATTTTTGTTTAAATATAATTTTATAGCCAAATTTTTGTTTTAAATAAAATAATGGTAAACTTTTTGAAAATAATTAATTAGTTAAACCATTAACTTTCCATCTGGTCTACCGTTAGTTAGACTCTAAGAGCATCTCCATTGGAATTGCAATTAGAATTGCATTATGACATGGCATTGATTTGCAATTGCAATATGTAATTGCATTGATGTAGATGACAATTGCATCTTTGCAAGTTTGCATATAATGCAATTATGGAATGCAAGCCACATCATCTTTTTTATTATTAAACTATTCATTAATTTATTATTTGAGTGTTTATGTTTTAATAATTAAATAAAAAAATTAGTTGCAATTGCAAGTTAATTGCATTGATGTGGTACAATGCAAATAAGATGAGTTGGATTGCAAAAAAATGAAGTAACAATAAAAAAAAACAAATGCAATTGCAAATGCCATTGCACCAATGGAGATGCTCTAACATGGCAAAATATTAAATGAGATAGGATTGGTTTTGATGATGTGGCAAAAAAAAATCAAAGGTTTGACTCCACGTCATTTTAGCCATCAATTTTTATTTTATAAAAATGAATAAACCAAAATAACAATGGCGACTTCATCTTCTTCTTTGTTGGTGGGATCGGAAACAGAAGAGTGCAAGAGGCGGCAGATGAAAGACAGCGGTGACAACTTCATGTTCTTCTGAGTTGGGGGAATTGGAAAGAGATCCCTGGAACGCGGCAAACGTCGTCGTCGGATCAAAGAAGATCTGGAACACATCGTTCGAAAATCCCAGATCAAGCAAATCTCTCTGTCGGCGGCGGCGACTGGGCATGATTTGTGATTTTTGGTTACCCAATTCTTCCCTCTAGCCCTCTCTATGTCTTCCTAATTTGAATCATCTTCACCTCCACTGTCACCCATGTTAGAGAGTGGTATAAGATCCAGCAGAACCTTCTCCCAACAACTCGAGTTATTGGGATCAACTGGTTCTTGACATGGTATCAGAGCTGGTTTGGCCAAGTGGTCGTGTGTTCGAATCTCCACGACCCCCAATATTAACAGTGGACTAAATCACAAGGTATGGTGGGCCTGTGCAAACTTCAAGCTCATGGGTTGGCTTTCGTTTGAGGGGGCGTGTTAGAGAGTGGTATAAGATCCAGCAGAACCTTCTCCCAACAACTCGAGTTATTGGGATCAACTGGTTCGAGTTATTGGGATCGAGCTCCAACCAATGATGAAGTTCACTTCAGAGAAATAAACGAGCGTTGGATCGTCAAAGAATGCAACCTCTCTCCAAGCTCCTCTCAAACCTCAACCTCCACTCCGGCAAAGGAAACCTCTTCATCCGCAGCAAGAACATCGAGCGGGAGGAGATTGAAGGAGGCGATTGTGATGAAGGGGAACCGGTGATTGAGGGGATATTGGTCAAAAGCTCATGCTTTAGAGGTGGAATCTGGGTAGGGTTTGTGGCAGGTGGAGAAGGTAAGGGGAGAATCAAAACCCAACAGAGTTGATCGACGAGAAGGGGTGGGAAGAATGACTGTCTTGTTAAGTGGGACGCAAATGAGTCGAGTTGCTCGCGAGCGGCTCGACGTTCGACTCGAGAAAAGCTTGTTCGAATCTCGGCTCATTAATAAACAAGCCGAACACGAGCTAATCTTTGTGCAGCTCGCGAGCTAGCTCGACTCGGTGGCTTGTTGAGCTAAATTCGTGAGCTGGCTCGTTTAGAGATCATGATATGTCTTAACATGTGGCTAACATGTGGCTAGAGAGCCAACTCGATTACCAACTTATGGACGAATCAATCTATATCTTATGATTTTAATTTATATGGTTGTTAAATTATATATCTCACCATATATTAAGTTTAACATGTTGAGTATGTGATCAAATATATCTTATTTTCTACTTTAAAAAGAAATTATGCATCATAGATTGCTTCGATACTATGAAAGAACATGATTTGGAGTAGTTAAAATTTATTAACTAAATGATATATGATACCAACAAAATATAATATGAAATTAGCTAACAAAATAAATCATATGTATCATGATATACAAAATGAAGTACCAAATAAAAGTCAAGATTTTAATAAACAAGCTAGCTCGAGCTCGATTCGACTCGGCTCGTTAATAAACGAGCTGAGCTCGAATTCGACTCGTTTATTAACGAGCCGAGCTCAAGATGGGGTAAAACTCTACACGACTCGGCTCATTTGCAGCCCTAAGTGGGACTAGTATTACTTTAGATTATTTATTTTTCATAAAATAAAAATTGTTGGGTAAAATGACTTGTGCACAGTCAAACTTTTGATTTTTTGCCACATCATCAATACCAATCCACCTCATTTATTATTTTGTCACGTTAAAGTCAACTAACGGTTAACCGGATGTAAGATTAACGGTTTGGCTAATAAATTGTTTTCGAAAAGGTTTGGCTATTATTGTGTTTAAAACAAAAGGTTTGGCTAATAAATTATATTTACCATTTTCTTTTTACAAACTCCAAGAGCCAAAAGTTCTTATCATAGCCAGTCAGATCAGACACCACTATTCATCCATCGTAGTTAGGGCTGCAAATGAGCCGAGTCGAGTTTTACCCCAGCTTGAGCTCGGCTCATTAATAAACGAGTCGAGCTCGAGCTCAGCTCATTTATTAACGAGCTGAGTAGAGTCGAGCTCGAGCTAGCTTGTTTATTAAAATCTTAACTTTTATTTGAAACTTCATTTTGTATATCATAATACATATGATTTATTTTGTTAGCTAATCTCATATTATACTTTGTTGGTATCACATATCATTTAGTTAATAAATTTTAACTACTCCAAATCATATTATTTCATAGTATCGAAGCAATTTATGATGCATAATTTCTTTTTAAAGTAGAAAATAAGATATATTGCTCACAAACTCAACGGGTTAAACTTTATATATGGTGAGATATATAATTCAACAACCATATGAATTAAAATCATAAGATATAGATTGATTCGTCCATAAGTTGGTAATCGAGTTGGCTCTCTAGCCACATGTCAAGACATATCATGAGCTCTAAACGAGCCAGCTCACGAGTTTAACTCAACAAGCCACCGAGTCGAGCTAGCTCGCGAGCTGAACAAAGGTGAGCTCGTGTTCGGCTCGTTTATTAACCAGTCGAGTTTCGAACGAGGTTTTCTCGAGTCGAACGCCGAGTCGCTCGCGAGCAGCTCGGCTCATTTGCAGCCCTAATCGTAGTCGATGAAAAGGCAGAACATACCATTAGAGGTGAAACAGAGGGGGAAATTGGTAAATTGATTCACCATGATAAACTCACCATCTTGAGAGGAGACCAAGATTCACGACTCAACCCCCAAGAAGAGAAACCTAGCAAAACGAACCCTGGAACGGGAAAGGAAAAGGCCATTAAGACCAGAGAAGCTAAAGGGTGGAATATTCGATTGATACGCGCCTGAACAGAGGCAAATAAGTCGAAAAAGATAGCAAGAAGAGAGATGGGTCATTGGGCTACCACCAATCACCAAGAGGTGTCAACGATAACCCTTGGTGAGCTGCACAAAGGAGCTGGAGTTAGAGAGAAGTCAAAAACGTAAGAGATAGGTGGGGTTTGTGGCTTTCCTTCCTTGCCTCACTCGATTGTCTATTTAGATTTCCATTTTACAAATGTTAATGAGATTAATGTTGTCCTCTTGTAGTTTTCTTCTTCCAAATATATAGAGAAAGTACAATGCAACAATAAGATATACAAATTATAAAATTCCAAAATCAAAATATCAACCAACTTAACTAACAAAATCAAACAACGTTAATTCAGAACAATAAATTGAAGTAGTTTTACATTCCACAACTAACAAAATCAAACAACGTTAATTCAGAACAATAGATTGAAGTAGTTTTACATTCCACTTTTATTAGCATCTTGGTTCATTGTTCATCTACACTATAGAGAAGTTATCAATTGCTTATGACCTTGAAGCACAATAACTCTTATCACATCCATCTCCAACCCATGCACTTCTTGACAAATAACCACTTTTGGGTATTCAGTGTAAATGGGCGTTGGGCCGTGCTTGGGCCGGTACAGCACGGGTACGCTTCAGACCCATTTATTTCGTGTCGTGCTTGGCACGGCCCGTGAGTTTTCGTGTCGTGCCATGCAAGCTCATTTGTTAACTTTGCTAGGCCCGGGGCGGCCACGGTTCGAATCGTGTCGTGCCTATTCGTGCTTGTGCCATGCTCGTATTCGTGTTTAATGAAAAGGACGAAAACAAAAGAGAGAATGAAAAAGAAGGTGAAAATTGGACGGTGGAAGATAGTATTAACCGATAATGTTTGAGAAAAGTAACAAATAGGGGGGAAAGAAAATTAGAAGTAGAGCGAGTGTGATTTTGCTTTGTTTAATTCTTTGTCCATTTTTACTTATGTTAGTAATTACGTATATATCTTTATGACACTTCTAACAACAACAAATAATTATTTTTCTACTTGTGTTTTGTAATATTTGAACCTATAATTCCTTTTATATTTATTTTCTATCAAATAAATATTATTTTCGTGCCATACCTGTTCTTATACTCAATAAAGTCTCGAAAATATTAGGCCTGACATGACCCACTTATATACCATGTCGTGCCCATGCTCGTGCCCGTGCCCATGAAGTTTAGGCCTGGCACGGCCCATAAATTATTCGTGCTCGTGCCATGCTGGCCCATTTATTTCGTGCCCATGCTCGTGTCGTGCTCTAACCGTGCCGTGTCGTGCTAGCCCGTGGACGGCACGGCCCGGTGCCCACATACGGTATTCAGTAATAACTCCATAAAGGCGATGATCAGTCATTTTGCACAGTGTATTTCTAGTTGAAGAGCCTTTGCTTATAATAGCCTTATTATGCTGAGAGCCCATGACCCAGTCTCATAGAGGTTGGCAGTATAGAGATAATGTTGCTCATGGTCCTAAGCGCAACGGTATACTCAACTTGATCCTTTCTATAACAAGATGACATCATAACTTTAGCCATCTCACGACTGAAGCAACATCCACATTCAACCATCTCTAAGGATTCTTCCTCAAGCAAGCACTCGATTCTGATGTTTAAGTCGCCACACCTAAGTTCAATCCAACTTAGGTAGAAACCTTAATACGTCTTCCATCCTCTCCCATAACCTTACCCTCCCATATTAGTTGACGATGATAGATGTTGTAAGTCTTAATGTTAGTAGTCAAGTAAGGGCCCTTCTGATTATCGATGATATATCACATTTCTATACATGTTATCTCCTTACATTTGAGTCATTTTGTTTGGTCTCCCCTAGGTGAACCTCTTTGTTTACCATGATTCATGATGGGTTGTACTTCTTGGTTGATATTTCATGAGATCAATCAGAGTCAGTTTAGAGTTTAGAGACAATTGGAGCTTCATTTGTGCCCATCACAACCTCAGCTACGTTCTCGTTCATGGTCATGAATGGTGAATTCACCGAATGTGATTCACTTAATTCGAACTCCATTGTTTGTATTCATGGGAACATGCTAGAAAGTGTTTTAAGAGAGGAAAAGCCATGTTTTTCAAAAGAATTCGATTTGGGAAAGTAAACAAAGCAAAAAGACTTCTTAGAGATAGAAAGTTAAATGGAAGGAGAAGAAGGGAAGAAACCTCACACAAGAGTCCAAAATCCATCCTAGAAACAATATAATTGAAGGGATCTTGGAGAAACAATTAACTAGCTAATGTAAGGTGCATGAAAATGAGCTAAACTACCCAATTAAAACAACTATTTACTTAAATAAACAAAAACAATGATTTACTTGAAAGTGATTTTTAGCTAAGGGATTCTAACCCTATAACAAATTAGCTTTATAAATAAATTTCCATATCAATGGCGTTTTGACTCAACTATAGAGGGATTCAAAGCCTAACAACGTGTTCATCTTTCAGAAAACTCATCTTTAATTTGGCTTGTTTATGCTTACATTATTTAGTTGGTAAGTTGTAGTTATTAGTTGGTAGTTCAATAGAAAATAACCTAAATTGGATGGAGTACTAACACTTCTAAAACCTGTGGATGTTGACCTTGCTATCACTTTACTATGAGCTTGATTCGGTATACTAGTCTATCGATGCAATCGAAACCAGGCAGCGTTAGATGCTATATGATCCTTTTATCATTAATTTGTTTCATATTCGCGAACATGTTCTATTTACCTAAGAGGTTTAGCATATTGTTTAACACAGAAGTGTTTGGTTCTATCTTGGATCATTGCATCTAGTTCATGATTTTCTCACATTTGTCCATGTTCTTGGCTCTTGATTAGGCCAATAGAAGCGACATGACGGATATATATGATTGTTGGTGTAATGGTGTCATCTTGGGTTGCTTCTTATCTTCAAATACATGTTTATGCTTATGCTAAAACAAGAAAAGGGGGGGACACTAACCAACTTATGGTTTTGACATGCACTAACATAATATTTATGGTTTCATTTTTTACTCTAAATTAACTTCTAGTTTCTTTT